TAATGAGTTGTATGATGTAGGCAACTACAACCGGGATGGCAAATATAGTCAGGATATATATATATATATATATATATATATATATATATATATATATATATATATATATATATATATATATATATATATAATATATATATATCCTGACTATCTTTACTATCCCTGGTATTCGAATGGCAATAACTTTTTTTAAAAATGCTGTTTTTTACTTAACTATTATTTGTTTAAAATGCTTTGATAAAAATTATAAGAATAATAAAAATGCAAAATTTTTCAAAATAAAGTGGGCAAAACTAGATAAAAAATGGACCATCAATGACAGCAAAAAAAAGTCGTGAATGTAGTGTTAAGGTGTTTTGGTTAGAATGCCACAGGTGAATTTGTGTAAATTGAGGGAGTAATGACAAAAGTAGTTTACTTGTAGGCTTAAAAAATTATGCTACACCTTCAGAAAGATGGGTTAATGAGAAGCTGTTCATTTTTTCAAAAGAAAATGACTTGAAGCTTAAGTTTTTCGAAAACTTGTTTAAGTTATTTGACTGAGTTCGAGAACAATCAAATATTAAATAAAATGATTTAGCTTCCCCAATCATAAAATGTTTTTTACATATTTCTTTATACTTTGCTTTTAGATTTTATACATGGGTCATGGTCTCCTTTAAGAGTTTATTTATTTTATTGCTTGTGCGTTGCTTATATTCTTTTGTTACTGTTATAGTGTCTTGTTTTTGTTCTAAAAAATCTGTTCAACACATCTTTACAATTTTATTATTCTCCCTCTTCCCCTAATTTTTTTACTAATAACACTTGGGCCTGACAGCTCAGTCTTTGATGCATATTTTTGCATTTTTGAAAAGTACTATAAAACATTTTATTTTGATAAATGTTAATTAAAAATAAGTTTGTATATTGTATGTAATAAAAATGTATTATTACAGGCCTTGCGATGAATAAGAACTGCGCGACGCATAAGCACGACGTGATTTTTGACGTCATTAAATTCTTTTTATTTGCTTTTCATATTTATCTTAATAATTCTTAATATCTTAATATCTTAAGTTCTATTTACATTAACTGCACCAATTTACTTAATTACCGCAAAACTACTTTAAATCGTTTATGTAGAAATGTTATTATTTAAAAATGATTTGGAATGTTTCGTTTTTTAAAATGTAAAAACATTTGTTTATTTTCTCGACGTTTGTCACGTTTTGTCTATACTAAACGAATAAAAAACATTATAACTTAAATTTAAAAAAGATTATAAAATATGCTAATATTTGATTTTTTTTTTTAAAAAATGTAATTTAAAGTTTTTCAAATAATTATTTTTTTCTTTTTAAAAAGTCAGCGAGTAATAAACTGGAAATTTTAATATTGTACGATTAAAAACTGTGCAATAGCTAATATTTTTACAAGCGATTTTATATAATATTTATTTATTTATTTTTATTTATTTTCAAAAAGCGGTTGATAAGCACAATCACTCGTATTAATAAAAAACTTAAACGAACGTTTTGAATAATTTTTAATGTTAACAAGGAATTTTATTTCTAGTAAAATAAAATAAAATGTTAGAATAAAAATCTTATAGGTATAAAAGAAATATTTCAGCGAAAAAATTATTCTTAAAAATTATTCTTAAAAATTATTCGAAAAACTATTGACGTTCTATTTTTCAGCAGCTGTTCTTCAGCACGCTTCGTTGAGTTTCGGTAACTTTTAACATAAAAGCGATCGTTATTATTTAAGTAATTTTTTTGAGTTACTTTTTACAAAAATTTTAATAACTGTACTTTTTTATTGAATCAAGTAGAATACGTTTTAATATTAATCCTTTTTTATTTTTTTATTTGCCCTCACCAATTTTTAAAATGTTTCCTCGAAATTACTCTTAAATACTTTAAATACGTCTAACAGTTAATAAATATTTTTAAATCTATGGAATAATTTTAAAACCTAACCTACCCCCGTAAAATAATTATTTAAGTTTAAAATCTAAAACTGAAAGAAAGTATTTTTGTTCAATTTTATCGACAACTTTGCTATTGCTGAATAATTTTAATTAAATGTTAGCTTAAAAGGTTTAAACTTTTTTTTTAATTTTTTAATTTTTTCTACTTGTAAATAATGAGCATATTTAATTTTTTTTAATTCAAACTTTTATTTCAACTGCGTGCGGTTTTTAAAATACTTTACTAAAAGTTAAAATAATCGTAAATTACTTCATTAAAATTCCGCTCAAAAATATCTTTAAATATACTCAAACAAAAATTTTTTTGCTCGACGCAAATAGCCCTAGCTACACGCAAAATCGATCTTGGACGACGTCGCCCGACGCTTTATCGCAAGGCCTGATAATATTATTATCAGGCCTTGCGATAAAGCCTATCGCGATAAAACCTATAAGATATTATCAGGCCTTGCGATTATCAGGCCTATATTATTATATAACAAAAATGTTAATGAATTTTGTAATCAAAAATAAGCTTTACCTCAATCACAAAAAAATGCATTTTGTCTGAAAGTTTGTTTATTCACTTACCTCAAAATAAAAATAAACAAGATTTGTTCTGACATTTTTTATTAGTTGAAACATTTTCTTAATTAATTTAAACACACAAGTTTTGTTCTAAATAAAACTATTATAAAGTCCATTTTTCTAATATTTTGCTAATAGTGCTTTCCTTGCTTGAATTATTTTTTAGTTCAAAGTGACAAGTTTAAATAGACATTTTATTAAAAAAAATTTTTATAAGTTCAAACTATTTAAAACTCTGTAGGAACTTAATGTTGCTTCCTTTTTTTTTATTAATTCTAATTGAAATTTTTGTAACCCTTTTTTCGTTTTTTACATAATTTAATGAGCAATCTAAATAAAGTTTTACTTTATGTCTTACTTAATAATGTAAAAACTTGATAACTTATTTAGTTTTCAATCTGGAAAAGCCATGAATCAAAATTTTATTTAGCATCTGAACCATAAAATATCATGGATAAATGTCTACATCAAGCAAAGCATTATGCTGTTATTCCAAGCAGAATGCTGTAAATGTTTATTGTAATGCTGTAAATGTTTATATGTAAATGTTGTTGTTGAAATTGTAATTATTATTAATTATTCTTAATTTGTTTTTATTAATTATTACTTAAAGAATGTTGTGAATAATTTACGTTAGCTTAATTTTCATGTCCAGTGTTAAAATTACTTTTAGAATATTTTAGAGGGGTGGTGCTGGAAGCAAGGTGGAGTTGTAAGTGCTTTGTTAGTTTTTGTTTATTATTTTTTTATTACAATTATAAAAACTGATAATATTATTTTTAATTTTCAGGTCAAGAATTGGAAAAGAAGATATTTTCGTCTAAGTAATGGAGAATTATCGTATTATGATACAGAACATGTATGTTGAGTTTTTTTCAAGAATTTTTTATAAATATATATTTATTTCAAATTTTTATTAAAACAATTATTAGTAATGTTCATTAATTTTAAATTGTGTAATAGAGAGCTTTGGGTTTTTTTTATATTCAAGTGCGTTATTTTTTTTTTATCAACTTTATTACCCATCGTATATCTATTATTTTAAGCCTTGAGCCTGTACATTTTTTATAGCAAGCTGTATAGCCTAATAATATATATTGATATTTCTGCAAAAATGTCAAAGTTGATAAATTAATGATTGTTTAATTTTAAACACAATTTAAATCCACTTCTTAAATTTTAAATTGTCTGCTTTTGTTGTATAGTCTTTAAATTCAATACAAACTATGAGTTAATAATTTATATCGAATTTTTTGATTGACATTATTTTAAAATATGGTTCCTTTTAAACAATTTTAAATATATTTTAGGTAAAAGATCCAATTCGCACCATAATGATGAAACATGTGAAATCAGTTAATATTTTGCAGAAGTAATTTAATTTGTTTTATCCATTTATTAGATTATGTTGATGATGATGATGATGATGATGATGATGATGATGATGATGATGATGATGATGATGATGATGATGATGATGATGATGTCACATATCCAGAGCAAATCTATGAATAATTCAGATCTTAAACATTGATTTTTTCTGTAGCAAGTTTTTTTTGTACATTTGATGTAGGTCAGAAGATTAGTACTACGCTTAATTTTTTTAATTAATTTTTTTTTTCAATGGTCAATGAAATTTAGAATGTTTTTTAGGTATTGTCAACGCCCAATTCTGCTTGAACTGAAAACAGATAAAAGAAACTTTTTTATACAGGTTTTTCTTTTTGTCTGATTGATCATTGTTTTAGGAAATCTTAAAGTTTATATATTTTACATTTTTTTATATAATTAAATGCTTGGTTTTAGTTGAAATAGTTTTATTGTTAGTATTTAATGCTTCAGTGATTGGGCATAGTGTGCCACTCAGGGATGCTGAGTCCTAAAGACCCAAAACAGTTAAGGCCCCAGCTTTGAATCTCTATTTTTTCCTGGTCTCTGGTATTCATGAGCTTTGAATCTGTTGAGTGACATAATTTGCAATAAGAAAAATGTTCATGAGATTCAGTGACTTTAAATCTAATGTTTTTTATCCTGGAGTCCTTAAGTTCTGGAGTCCTTGCTGCCATTATACATAAAGACTCCAGGTTCAAAATTGATTGTTTCTCTTACCTAAATGTCTTAATTTTTTTCCCCATAAGCCTCATTATGTTTTTGAAGCTTCTGGATACCAAAAACCAGGCAGACTTTTAAATCTAAAGTCTTTTTAGGGACTCTGCATCCCTGGTGCCACTAGCAAATCGGGGTTTCTTTTTTCTAAAAAAGATCATATATGCGATTGTATCCATGATGGAACCATGTTTTGTTAACCATTCCTTGCATAAGAAAGTATTATTTCAAAAGAAAATGAAAGTTTGCAACTCTGGTACATTTTCATTGTGATTATCTACAAGTAGTGTTTGTTTTACATCTGCATGTAGTCTTTGTTTTCTACTTTCCATGACACAACAAGATATAATAGTACTTTATAATAACAAATAAGATTTTTTAATAATTTTTAAAAATAATTTTACTTAAGTTCTATTATAAAATTAAATGTTATTCACAATGTTTTCTACATTTTTAACAATATCTTACTGAATTAACCTTTTCTTATAACTTTACTAAACCACAAGAGCTACTAATATATTTCTAATACTCAGGCCAATGAATGATAATATAAGTTTAATGTTAAAATTTCGTTTTTATTTCGTTAACCAACAATTTAAATTAAAAATTTAATTATTTTAATATTTTATTTTAATATTTTATTTTAATTTTAACTCTTTTTTTTAAACTATTTTAAACTTTTTTATTAACTTTAACTAGGGTCGTTTCCACACTTACCGTGAGTTTAACAAAAGTTATTTTAATATTTTAGATTACTCAAAAAGTAGAAATGCATTGGAAATAAATTTTTGCACCCGTCAATGTAATACTATAAGGGTTAGTTTAAAATTAATCTCATTTTGAAATTTAAATAAATAATGTAATTATTTTGATCAAACTTTTAGAGCACAACTGTTTTTTTCTTTTTCCAAATTTTCATATTTTTCTTTCTTTTTTAGTTTTTTCATTAAATAACTTTTTCTCTATAGCCAATTTTTTCTTTCTTAATCTTTCTTTCTCTATTTTTGACTTTTTATCTGCAGCTAGTTGTTTCTTTCTTAATCTTTCATCTTTAACTTGTGACTTTTCTTGCACTTTTATCTTCTGAATTTGCTGCCACGTTTCAGATGTTACAAGCAATGGTAAACATTCTACTTTGCGCTTGAACATTTGGACTGGTTGTTTTGGCCATATAAAAACACTTTCAATTGGATTTATGATTTTTGCTGCTATTTTTAAACTGAAATAAACTGGTTTTGGTTCTATTACCATTATTGTAATCAGGCATTTCCTTATCGGTTTGCATTATTGTAATCAGGCATTTCCTTATTGGTTTTAACTTGCACATTTTCTAAATTACAAGTTGTTGATAAATATTTATTATAAATATTTGTTGTATTTCATTAGATAAATTATGGTCTTATATGTTTCAGATAAGGCTCTTTTCCAAAAATGATACATCTGGAGGTATTCAAGATCACTTTTCCAAACTAAATGTTTGTCAACCATTTTAAACTGCTTTAAAATACTTGAATCAATGCATTTTTTAACAAAGGTTATGGAGATGAAGCTGATAAATTCACTCTTCAATAGTTTTCTTCTAAATAAGGGGCCGGAGCAACAGTTGACTCAGATAACTTTTGAACAATTTTTTTGTAGCCAACACTATTAGCATCAAATGGAAAAATTCCGGTATATTCTTAAAACCACTTTTGATATTATTTGCCATAGAAGGATTATAAAAAAATTTAATGCTTCTCGTACATTATCATTGTTTATTTCTTGTCCTTCATGGTCAATGCGCCATTGTCGGCAAAAAGATTTCCACTTTGCTTTCATTAGCCCAAAAACTGCCACATCAAGCGGCTGCAAAATATGTGTTGCATTTGGGAACAAAGCAACAAGAATTATTCCATTTTTATTCCAAGTTCGATAGAAAAATGTGACGCATGACCATCAAAAAAAATAATAACTGGTAAAGGAATTTCTTTTTTTATCAAAAATGGATGAAAAACGTTTGTAATATACTCAAAAAAACATTCTGCAGTTATCCAACCATTTTTGCTTTTTTTAATACCCCATCCTGATGGAGCACCATTTATAATTCTATTAGGAAAACGAACATATTTAAAAATTGTTAATGGTGAAGCAAAAGTTCCGCTGGCATTTACTGCAAATAAAGTAGTGATGCTTTTTTTATTACTTAGAGCACTTTCTTAGTATGTATATTTTCCTCAAATTAATAAATTGGTTTTTTTGTCCATGTTGATATCGCGCATCGAACCATTTAAATTTTAAGTGTTTTCTCTCAAAAGCTTCAGAATTTCAGCAAACCAATCTCTTATGGCTTTTTCAGTTACTCCTCCTCTAGCTCAGTTTAAGTATTCACCTCGTATTTGGGAAGGCTGTTTGTGACGGCAAAGAAATGCATAAAAACAACCTTTTTCAGGATGGTTGTTAGTAAATTGTGTTTTTATATTGTTGGAATTCAAATATTTTTGCACAGTATCTAACATTAACATAAAAATAAAATAACTACTTTTTGCAAAATTTATGTTATATTTAAAACCTACGATAAGTGTTGACTCACGGTAGGTGTGGAAATGACCCTATCTATAGTTTTTTAGCAGAAATTTGAAATCATCTTAAATGTCATACAATTTTTTGCGCTATTTTAATCTACTTAAATTCTAAAACAACCTAAAAATAAATCTTAACACTTTTTTAAATGTCAAGAAAATCCAGAAAATAACCAACAATTAAAGATAAATCAAAACAATTTTTTTTTCCTAAACAGTTTAATTAATACTGAATACTTAAGTAATGAAAATAAAAAAAAAAAAAAAAAATTAAGAAAGCAGAAAAGATCTGGCACTAAAATTATTCAGTATGGAATCATTTTTTTCTAATGATGTTGTTTTGTTGTTAATTTTGTATTAGTGGTTCACTCGTTCAAAAAATAAGCTTATATTATTAATATTAATAATTTATGTTGTTACTTAACTTAAACTTTTGATTTAAAAAATTTCTTTATCCACTAAAGAAATTTTTTAAAAAAGTTAAAAAAGTTTTAACAACAATTAAAAAAGTGCAAACAATATACTTGCAATAATTTGAGTTAAAATGCAAGTTGCCAACAATTTTTTGAACTTTCTGGTAATGTGCTTGTCATAAAAGCACTTTTTTTTTTCCCTTTTTTTAAGACAATCAACTATTTAAAAAGTAATTATAAAGTGTTACTATTATGAAGCATAACATTTAAAAATATATTAATAGCCTGGTTCACCTGTTGTAAAATAAGAATTCCCTGACTATTTCTCTATATACCTTTGTTTCAAACCTGCACTCATTTTAATGTTATTCTGAGAAAGTTTACCAGCCTAATATTGTTGTATTAATAATAATATTGTTGTATTGATAATAACAAAAAGTTGCAATAATAATAATGTTATTGTATTAACAATGATGTTGTCGTGATTTAAGTGCTTGTTATGCTAAATGACTTGACTCTGTACAACAAGTGCTTGTTGGCACAAAAAAACCTTTGCTTTTCTTTATCTTTTAACCAGTTAACTTCCTGACAACCTACTTACCTCTTGATTTGTGTTTTTGACTATAACTCTAGGTTTTCATCAGTTTTACTTCGTTCTTCTTTAGATGGTTCAGAGTACTTTTTAGAATTTTATGCAATACAATAGAACATTCCAGAGGAATTTGAAAACCTGTTTAGAACTTTACAGTATGTTCTAGATCCTTTCTTTTGAAACCTTCCACATTTAAGCAACAATCTTTTTATAATGAAAAAATGTTTTTAGTGATATAAGAGATAATAAGTACGATATCATTTTATCAATCACGACAAGCATTAAACCGATTGAAAAAAATAAAGATTATATTCACCACTGATTTCCTCATAGAATTAGCATCTTTCATTTAAAAAAAAAATATATATATTCATTTTTGATGACCAACTGTTCTGCCAGACTACGCATGTCTTACAGTTGTTTCTTTTTTTAATAGAAACTGTTTTTTTAAAAGTCTTACCGAAATATTTTTCAATAAAAATATTAAACAGTTCTATTTTAAATAAGTTTTAATATATGGCCAAAATATTTTGACATCACCAAGTCTAAAAGTTCTCTTGCAGAATTAAATGGTTTAATTGCAATTGATTTTAGTATGGTACTCAGACTCAGACTCTGAACGGGTATATATATTTTGTCGTTTTTATACTTTTATACTGATTTAGCAACTACAAAATGTTTACATTTATCATTCCAACATCTTCAAATATTGTATGAAATTGCAATAGTGTGCCATTCCAACATAGTTACTACCATAATAACTACAATCACTAAAAATAATTTCTAATACATGAGGTGACTTAAGCTTAGGCCAATGTTACCCTATGTAGTTGGCCAAAGAGAACCCATTTTTTTGAGAAAAGAAAAGAAAGTTAAAAGTAAAAATATTTATAAAAATAATAATAGTAACAATGATATAAATAAAAATAATATAAAAAATAATAACTGCAATATAACAACGTAAAAAGAATTATAAATGATAAAGCAATAGTAAGATAATTATAGTATAGTTAATATTTATAAAATAAACAATTTAAAGAATAATTATAAAAATAATGATATAGCTATTGCAACTACTGAACTACTTTGACTATCATTATAGGTAATAATATAAAGGCAACAAAAACAAAGATATATAAATAATAATAGTAATAACAATAATAAAAATAGTAGTAGTAACAATGTAAAGAATAATAATAACAATAAAAAAAATAAAAATAAGTGTAATTAATTGAATAATATATTGAAGGAATAATAATAAAAGATAGCATTAATATTCTTTAGATATTTGCTCACATAAAAATTTCTTAATTAGGTTTCTGTTGAGAAGAAAAAAATTAGTAACAAAAGGGTATTTATTGAAAATCTTTTTTTTTATAAAAGGTATTAATTGGTTCCAGTGAGAAATACATTGATGTTTTATGGAGAGCTTTCCATACTTGATAGTATTGAAAAATGAAGGGTGCAAATTACCATTTATAGTAATACGAGTATAGTATTTATGTGTATCACTTGCTTTAATGAAAAAATTGTTAAATGAACCCGGCAGATTATTTTGGAGGAAATCAAACACAAAAAGACAGTTGTAAAGCTTTATACGATCTTGAAATTGTAAGATTTTTAATTCAGAAAACCTTTTTTGGATATTAGATTGAATAGGAGAAAATGTCATAATTCTTATGGAAGCACGTTGCAAACTGTTTAAACGATTTAATAGAAAACTTCCTTGTTGCCCCCAAACAACGCAACAATAGCTTAGATGGGATGAGAACATGGAATAGTAAATTGATACTAGAGTATGTTTAGGAATATAGTGTCGTATTAAAGATAACATACTATTGGCTCGAGTGAGTTTTTTATTTAATTGAATCATTTGATAATTCCAAGACAAGTTTTTGCCAAGAAATACTCTGAGATATTTTATAAATTCAGAAGGAAAGATTCTTTTACCGTTAATTTTAATTTTAACATTATCATTATTAATTTTTTTTTTTGGAGGGTGAAAAATAATGAATTCAGTTTTGTTGATATTTAGAGAGATACGATTACTATTTAACCAAAGACACAAATGATGGAGATCTGAATTAACTTTTTTACAAAGCTGAGTAAGTGATTTATTTATGCATAGAAGATTGGTATCATCAGCAATATGGTGAACAGTGGAATTGCTTATAGAGCGAGACAAGTCGTTTATATATATTAAAAACAGCAAAGGCCCAAGAACAGAACCTTGGGGGACACCATATTTGATAA